AATGTTACTCGGAGCTTTGGGTTACTTCAAACAACGTTTCGATTTCCAGTTGAAACTTCTTCTGACGGTTTGTGATTGTAAATCGACGAAATCCGATAAAATCGCGAAGATCTGTTGCTGCGTTGAAGATGCACTCACGGAGTATATGCGTGAGGTGTTGTAAGGGGAACATTCCGCGACAATTGTACATATCATTCGAGTAGCTATAACTGAATAAGTTTCTAGGTTGAGATTATGCTGCTTTACGTATGACTCGTCTTTCGCGTTTCTCTGTTCACATTGATTGTTATCGTTGACGAATGTACTGATATATCCTGTAAATACTTGATAAAATGGCAATTTCTGTTCATTTCCCCAAAATTTTTGCGCTCAACATGGCAAAACGTGCAAACATCTTGAATATCTTATTAACGTCTTATTTTTCTCGCAAAAAGTTGGTGGCGTTTATAGTCCGATTTCATTTTGCTCACACTTCTACGGTTGTATCGTCAATAAACGAGTGCGTTTTGTCAAACATGTAATATCATTTGATAATTTCTCATCGTAACTCTCCATTTTGGCTGTCATTAAATGAATCCACTGTATGTATAAATCGAGAATTGCACGCATGAGTATAATTGATAAATCAGGTACACGTGTATATGTATGTATATCAGCAAGTGTATAAGTAAATTATTCCTTGTACGATGAATGTTCGATATTAATGCTCATTTCGCTCACTTCATAATTGTTTCATTTCTGTGATGCAAAAACTCTATGTCTTTGAAACTTCGTTGGAATTGCTCATTGGAATGTTCGAGGAAAAAATGTGAATACAGTAGAATAAACTTTTTCGAACTGAATTGATTCTGCGTTGCGCTTGAACTCTTCCACCGTAAGCGTCTTATCGATTCATTGGAATGAGTGTTTGAATCGGTAAATACAGATTAACTCATTGCCAAATAAGTTGCTTCATTTCGGTCACCATCGCTGATCGTTATTTGCTTTCCATATGATCAGTGGGAGTTTCATTTTCACTAACAAGCGATACATGAACACGACACACTCCGCAGGGCACCTCCACCTTCTTGAAAACATTGGATATTATACAGTTGAATGGCTGTTTCCAAAATCTGTAGCCCTGAGGTTGATCCAAATCATGAAAGCTTATCTTGAGAACATGCAAAAGCCGAGACTGTTCGGGAATATAAAATTTCCGCGAAAATGCAAATAACGATTACCATTGAGCTCTTTGATATTCTTCGTATAGCCAAAGAGGTTCTCGAGTTTTACAGCAGAAAAGACTGTTGATTGGATTATCATTGGGCTATAGAACCGCCTGAAATCGCCTGTAATCAAAAATCTAGATTTCTCCAGAGTTTTTCTCCAAAGTTCTCCGTTCTCGACGTTTTCGAGCTGACTGTCTCGACAGTCTCCGGGGTCTGCAACTGCAAGATTTCGTCGCCAACTTCGCCCGACTTTCCTTTCCCTTCCCAGAACACACTAGTACTGCCTATCCGTCGTCATTCAGATACGCTGAGTTGATCTCAGCTCACATCATCGAGTCATTCGTTCGTCGGCTTTCTGTCGTCGTTACTTATCGATTGTCATCGTCATGCTCTGTCTGAACAATCTTCAAAGCAAATTAGTCACGCGCATCTCGTTGGCCAGTCTCAGCTAACTGAGACATGACCAACGTTACCTAATATCATTACACACACACAAAATATTTGCATGCACGCACATCACATGATATGTACTGTCATTATCGATGCCATTATCATTATCCTCGTCATATATCTGGAGTATATTTCATACTTGGTGGAATTCATGCACGAATTCGATTTGTTATGTATGTTGTATGTTCGTGCGCTATGAATAGTCAGTCGCCAGCAGATTGTGGAGAAGGACATTAAACCACGACGACGACGACGACGACGACAAGCAAGCGATTTGTGTGTATAGCATGATGAAGATATGTATGTGCATCGCATATATATATATATATATATTGATATCTATTTATGCGTTTTCATGCGTACATTTTCGTGTTATGTGCTATTATACATGTATATGTGAAGGTATAATGTAATAATAAAATGTAAAGCACAGAGACATGCACAAACATTGAATTGAAAGAACTCAGCTTAGCATATAGATAAGAGGAGATAAAATAGGGCGCTTAGAGCGACATGGCAACAACAGCTGATGCGGCCGGCAGCTAACGAAGAAAACACGAGATTGAAGGAATATACTGAATGAGGATTGATGAATGAGAGCGCATGATGCATGGAACATGAACGAGAGCAAACACATGATTGATCAGAAGCATGATGCGCGATAGCATGAGATCGATGGACCCATGGACGGAGGATGGATGGATTTACAGACGCAACGAGGCATCATCCTGTCGCATCATTTCCCAACTAACATCTATCCATCACTAAAATGAATGTTATATTTTCATTTTCCATTCCGATCCACTCCTATGCTGTTCCACTCTTAAACACCAGTATGATCATTCATACTGAATGTCTGGCCGTAACAGAACGGAACGGAGCACAGCAATTAGTTTAGCTGCTTAGATGGATAATCCTATCAGCCTTAGTCAGCGCTAGCCCCCAAGAATCTTGATGATCAATGAATTCGAGACGACGACTCAAGAGTCGAGACTAGCGAGAGTATTGAAAGCGCCATCCATCTATTTATTCCGTCATCATTTATCATTTTATGATAAGTTTGTCGTTGTTATCATCTCCACTTCGATTGCCATCATCATATGATTTCAACTGATTGATCTGCGAGCAATTCCTCATCTTATCAGTGAAATTGTTTGTTATTGATATCTTATGATCAGTTCCACTTTATCATGTGCGTTTGTTTATGTGTCCACACATCACTTCAGTTATTTGACGAGTTACTTCGATAAGTTATCATTAAATTCAAAATCTATAAATATATTGACTGATAACTGGTTTGACGACTGATTATTGATAATAACTTTATTCAGTGATTGAATTTAACCTAATTTAATAACCGAATATGTCATTAACCTTTATCATTATCAATTTAAAAATGAATTTATTGTTATCAAGATTTATCGATTTTACTCTAAGTTGCGATAATTTTTCTCTTGTCGTTCATCAAGTTACGATTTCTTGTCCAACACGTTTCAATCAACAAATGATCATCAGTTATTTCAGATAGATGCGAGCACTTGTCCACAGTCTATTCACTGCCGAAGCAATCCAGTGATTTTGAAGAATTGTTCATTTGAGTTGTTCGGATTACTCAAAATCCCCAATTGGTTTCATTCCTCTGGTAGAAGAGCCGAATGCAGTGAAGTAATGTGATTATTCAGTACACCTTATCGTCATTCAATTCAATTGCTGGCTTCGATTCGAAATTCGATGCATCGAATTTGAAAAAAAAAACGATCCAAATTCGATTCGTATTATTCTGAGTGCTGATGAATGTGACTGACCTAAATATGATTATTGGATTTGTATAATTGCATCTCATGTGTTCGTTGCTATTGAGTATTTACACTATTCGAGTGGATGTGTTATGCCGGACGAATATTTTCAGCTATTATCTTGAATGATTATCGTCTCGTTGTATGATCGATTGCTGCTATTCGATGCGATTTGTTTGTATATATTGACTGTTATCAAAGAGCACAAGCTTTGTTCATCTGAAATTAGATTCAATTCCATACATATCATCAATTAACAGTGCTACTGATGTGAACGAATGCGTCGAGTTGTTCACATCAGTCAACTTTATTGATAGCTTTATTTGTGCATAACGAGTACCGGTTATTTCTGTGATTGATTACCGCACGACAGTTCTAAAAAGCCAACGATTTTGATTTATCCCTATATCCTCCTGTATCGCCTCTTTTAACCGTTCCAATCTCTATGGATGGGTCAAAGCGATTTTCATGATCATTCCGAATGGCCGACGATTGCTCTGCGAATGATACCAAAGAGGAGGTCTTATACAGTATCTCACAACTTGTGCGATTGTGTGCACAGGCATTTGGTTAGTGTCCTCTGCTTTTATTACTTTGCTTCTAAGAAATACCTAGGAAAGGTTAACTGAATGGAAATTTATCAGTTCCTTCACTGCAGGCAATTTGTTTTCCTCGAATTTTCTCGCATGAACTGTATTAGTTGATTGATTTAGTGATCATGGAATGAGAACAGTATGCTCTGTGCAATGATCACAATGTATTAGCGAAAACGTTTTGTGTAAATGATGAGAGATTTATCGGATTTTGATGATTCACTCCANNTGACTATATGATTATTTATAAGTATTTTTGTCATTACTGTGTGTTATTGTCGTCGTCATTGTTACTGTCGTGGCTAATATAATGCTAATGTATCGCTCAGTAGTCATTTCAATAGGGCCACGTCTCTCCATCGAAATGTGATCATAACTATGAATTGCTGATTGTAATGTTCTTAGTGTAGCACATCCACAAGAGGATTACTTTTCTGTTGTGTGTTGCTAATGAATATCTAGTTTCAACATGTACTTGTGTGTTTACTACTAGTTGTAATCTCGAGACGGTTTGTGAAAATCAGACCGATGGCGTGCGCAATCGTTTGACTTATGTCTTGACAAATCGATTAGTTGATTGTCTTCTACGAATCATCAGTTGATCATCACTTGGTCGTTTGCTTAACAATCCTCTATTTTACTTGTCCTGGTATTAGCAGTAGCAATAGCAACACTAGCAATAAGTCATTCTCAAGCGAACAAAACTATTCCTTCATAAATGATAATGCCCTCTGATAGACCTTTCTTTGCTGTATGTTCAAGTTGTTGGCCTCGTGCAACTAGTAAATCTCAAGCTTTACAACTACGTCGCGCTTTACAACCGGTTATCTTCAAATTAAATTCCTTTCTCGAAGTTCAAACTGTTTTGTGCTTTTGTCTCTTATGTGTCATTGTTTGTGCTCACAGTGCTTGCTCAATACCACTGTTCATGAACTTTTTCAAACAAAAGCGCAATGAAAATAGCAAAAGTTAAAAAACGACGAAACAAAAGTCCATCACGTGATTATCAGTGTGATCTGAACGATTTTTTAAATTACGTTGACGGAGTCATTCTTGAAGGCGTCTTGAACGTTCGTTCTTTTTGATATTAGCATTTACAATGACAGAAAGATAATTTTAACACTCTAATAAAAAGTATCGTGATAATTGAAAGTATCAATGCGTATTCATAATTTAACGAATCATCAGAAAAAATATGGAAGAATATAAGAGTGAAGAATCTCACTATTAAATAAAGTCATAATGTAAACTGATTGAAGTATATCATTAAGAATTTCTGATTAATTCTCAATTATGTCATCATATTATGAGTAAAACGTCTCATGATATGAACATAATGGTATTTAAGGAATCGTCGATGAATGCAGATATCGATGTCGAATTGGGTATTTGTCATGCCGTCAACTACTGGATTCAAAAGTGCCCAACGCATTTTGATGCCTCATGCAAACCACTGGTCGAGCATATTCGTCGTTTGGCCTTAAAAGATCAACTTCCGAGCACCAGTCTCCCTGATTTCTCTACGATGTATTTGATTTCAAGTATTCGTTGTTTTTGGATTGCCATCTTCTTAAGATTTTTTTATTGTTTCTATTTTGCTACTCTATTATTACTGTTTTAGTTCTGATTGAAATCAGTAAGCAGTTCAATTCACTTCTCTGCATTTTCAAAAAAAAAATTTCATACGGTGCGCAAGTTTTTTTGCCTTCAAGCAGC